GTCATATCATTCTCATTACTGAACTGATAATGTAGTTGAATTAATTTAAGGGTGCGTTTGATTGCAAGTATAGAATTTGCATGGAAGGAAAATAAATTCTAGGTAATTGAATTGCCTAGAACTTATTTCTTTAGAAATTATTGATTAAATGTGTTTGATTAATTTAATTTTCAGCGTATAAATTATAATACTTGTCCATTTTTTATTGGTAGGTAAATGAAAGAGAAAGGGAATAGATGAGAAGGAAAGAGAGAGTGAACTACCTGGAAAATAAAAACCACTTCTCCCTAAAGAAAATATTTTCCTTGTTTTTGAAGAAAATATGGTCACGTGATCAAAAGTTTGAAAACATTTTCCATGGAAAAAATTGTCAATCAAACACCCAAGAAATAGGAATTTTGGTAGAAAAATAATATTTTTCATGAAAAATAATGTCAATCAAACACATACTCTTGGAGAAATCAAGCCAAGAAGTACAAACAAGACACTTATTTCTATGAACAAAATTCTGGCTTAGCGTAACTCATGATTTAATGTTTGATCTAATGGAAACATGTCCACATCACATAAAGGAATAAAAAGCCTACAAATGGAGGGACTTTTGAAAAAGGAAAAATACATAATTACAATACTAGACGTATACATTTTCGTAAACGAACTTACAAAAAACATTTCAAAAATCAGCCAATTATAAGATATTAATAATAAAATTTAGGAAAAATAGTTAATTTAAATGTCATATCATAATGTATATGATTTAAATATTGTTTCTCTCATCTCCCATTTCCTCTCTCTTACACCCCAAATTTCTCCTTATCTCTCTTACACCTCACACTTTTTCTCTCTCTATTATACAGCATTTTATAATTGTTCAGTTGTACTACATGCGCATAGGACTATCAATGAATTAGATTTTGATATGAATCTCATGAAATTAATGAGAGATGGATTTAGGGTCTTGATCCAATAACTCTATCAAGATCTGATTCCAATAATCCATTAACTATATGAAGCAAATATGGATATAAATTAATCTAATCCAATAACCATCCAATTCGATTTGTTATAATAATATAGTATATTTTATACATTAGCGCATAATTTACCATACATAATATTTTTTTTCCATTTTGAAACTTGTATTACACTTTACACATAATTTTTAAATAATAAATAATATTAGATAATAGTATAATATTGTTAATTGAAATATTTAGAGAGTTTTTAATTTTTTATTAATCAAAATAAGATGAAAAATAATTATTTTATAATGTGTGGTAAAAAGAAAAAAATCGATTAACATGTAAAATTCTTTTATTGAAGAATGTGATTAAAAATGAGTTTTGAAAAAATGGAACTTAAACAAGAGCAAAGTAAACAACCAAAGGGCCAACAGTTAAATTTGCTTTCATTATTTCCAACTTCCCACTTTTCATATCGGATACTCACTAAAATATTACAGAATTTGCAATCTATAAATAAGTGGGCCAAGAATTTGGTTAAAAAGTTATCTAAGCTTTTCAATTCTAGGCTTAGAAATTGACTGATATAAATTTTTTTATCTTTCCAATTTCTTCAAATTCGGATCAGATTATCATATCAGATATCTAATAATATAGCAAATTGGATACAAATTTAAAAATCAAATATCCATTGCATTATAGGATTGGATCGAGTCGAATAATTATTCTTATCGAATAGGATCGAATATGGGCAGCTCCAATCCATATCCGATCTATTTACAACCCTACATATATATAATGGTTTATGTGTAATATGGTGAGATATGATTGTGTCAGATTTTTTACAACCAATTAAAAAAGAAAAATTTTCACTCCTTTTTCGACATCTCATTTGTATGTAAATCATTATCTAACTCCATTATGTCCAAGTAACGTTATTCATAATTGTTTCTCTCACCTCACACTTTCTCTCTTACACCTTACAGTTTCTCTTTATGTCTTTTACAACACCTCACACTTTGTATCACTCTTACAACATTCACACTTACTATCTCTTTTTTTTTCTTTCTTTTTTTTTTTTTCAAAATTAGGTTGTTTCATTTTGTGACTCAGATAAAATTTTATGATTTATAATTTACCCTTATTTGGCCCCCATTTTGTGGAAATGAAAATGGATGGAATAGTATTTTTTTGAAAAATGAGTGGTTGAAAAAGAAGGAAAATTTTTCAATTTACGTGTAATATTATTAAATGGAATATTGTATAGTTAAAAATAGAAGAGAAAAAAAAATATATAATCGAATGAAAATTAAACAGGACACAATCGCAATAACACAAAATTTATGATCTCAATCACATGTCGTCATAAACCACACAATGTCACTGTCACAATTACGTATGAGTTGCAAATTACAAAACGACATAGTCACGAAGACGTAGAATATAAGTCTCAATTACAGATTTAATTCCAAATCATATATCTTTATATGTCACTACTTATTTAGCGATCAATTATCAAATTAATTCATCACAACTTATTTTATTTACCACAAATCATCAAAATTTATTACTACTTATTTTCGCTCTCAAATTATTAAATTAACTCATCACAATTTTCCAATAAATTGTCACCAATTACCCTTCATCTCTTCGAGCTCACCCCCATACCACCGAAAATGCCATTGTCGCCTCAGATTCACAACCCACCACCACCTTCAACGAACCACAACTACCATCGCCTAGGCCCCACCCCACATCTAATGCACCACCATACTACCACCTTCGTAGATTCACACCATTAGGCACATATCACCCCACCAGCACCATTGGATCACAATCGTCGTACCACCACCCACATTTCTGTACATCTATCGTACCACCATTCAGATCCACAACCTATCACCGCAAAAACAACAATACACCACAATTCTACTGCACCACCATCATACTCAAGTCATCGTCACCATCCTCCAATCAAATTAGACGTCGATGACACACCCTTGGATTTTTTAGACATTCTGATATTGATGACAGTGGTCTAATTACTTGAATCGAATCGAAGATACGAGAATGGGAGACCTCAATATGCGTGTCCAATTTTTTGTACACAAAATCGATGCTGCTACCATGGAATCAGGAAATGAGTTGGCCACCGTACGCTGCCGCCAACTCTGAGATTAATGGCACAATAGTGTGTGCTATGTTGGTAAGGAACAAAATCTTGTACAAAGAGAGTTGGACGATGATGCAAGGCCAATTTTGCATAGAGATGAGTGAGGGCTGCTCCTCAAGCCCAACATTAGAGCGGCCTTCAGATTTTAGCATATTTCATTCTTCTCCCCCCCCCCCCCCCCCCCCCCCCCCCCCTCCTCTCTTTCTTATTCTC